TTTCTTCTGCATATCAATGATATGTTGCAAACTGGTAATATTTATTGCTATGCAGACGACAGTACTGGTGATGCCTTATACACCGGCCGTGCCAATATTTCTCGGGAAAACGTCGCCGAGTACCGGGACAAACTTGAGTCTGAAGTGGAGACTTTGCTGAATAAAGTCTCGGATTGGGGGCAATTAAATCTAGTCCAGTTCAGTACCCAGAAGACACAAGTTTGCGCGTTTACCGCTAAAAAGAACCCCTTTGTCGTATATCCTCAGTTTATAGGCACTCCCCTTGCTGCCTCAGCTAGCATAGGAATTCTCAGCATCGACATATCGAATAGTGTGCAGTTTCGTGGTCACTTGGAGGGGAAGCCTAAATTGGCCTCTAAAAAGCTTGGTGTGCTCAGCAGAGCAAGACAGTATTTCATACCGGCACATCACATGTAACTTTACAAAGCGCAAGTTCGGTCTTACATGGAATACTGTTTCATCATCTCTGGACCAGGGCACCCCAGTGCCAGCTCCTTTCACTTGACCACATTCAGCTCAGAGCAGTTCGAATCGTCAACGATCGAGTTCTTTCTGATCAGCTCGATTCACTGGCACTGCGTAGAGATGTTGAAAGAAAGAATGAAGGAAAGAAAGAAGGAAAGAAATGCATTTTATTCCAGTTTAAGTTTAATAACAAGGAGTTAAATGCCAAAAGATAAATATAACTAAATTTATTTAAAATTATTATAAATGTAAGAAAACATTTTAAAAATACCCTGTGCTGCAGCATGAAACCGTGAAACGGACCGGACTCAGTGATAGCACTGGTTTTCAGTCCACCAGTCCAGCCCTTACCCAGAGGCAGCTCGAGCGGCTCAGTCCACGCTCGCACTTGATGTCCGAAAATTCATAATATATAATATAAATATACATATACATACCCATATTTATATATAAATGGACTGAAAGTAGAATTTGCCGTTTTCTTTCAAAAAGGATACACATGGATATCTACAGTTTTGTATTAAGAGGCCGTGCAGAAAATTTATTCGATAGAGTTAAGGCAAATTCATTGCGCTACTATCTTTGTGTGCATCGTTTACGCACACACGGCTAAAGACCGAGATAATTATTTTAGGATACATAGTAAGTACGGTTTATAAATAAAAGTCTGGGATGTTTTTGTATAATAGTTTAGTATATTTATTACAATCAACATAAAATGAAAATAAAAAAGAAATGTGTTAGACAAATACACTATGCATATATATTTAAGTAATTCAATGTTTTCGTTCTGCGATGTCATTAATGTCTGCTAGAGAGTAAAGAGAAATTTAACATGTCTTATTGGTATTTACCCGAAAATCAAACATCGTCATTTCATTAAAACAAAGTTTTTGTGAATGCAAAACATTTAAATTTAAATATTAGGCCGTATATGAGAAACGTAATGTTAAAGGGATAAATAAAATACAGAGCACGAGTACGTGACGTACACGTCAAGTAAATACTTTGATTTTAAAATTGATAATACTCGTTTCTTTTATAATATTTACTCAATGTTTTGAATTTATTTTTATCCATGAGGGATACAAAGTACACATTTTGGCAAAAATAAGCCGATCATGCTAAAGGATACTTGTATTTTCGATAAAACATTTGGCCCATTTAATTTAAATCTATGTCCAATATCGGTTAAAATAAAAAATAATTAAAATGTTGTGTCTCTCAGTGGCTTTGAGCGAGTTTTTCTTGAATCGACTATTTCTGGTAAAAGGCATGTATTGTAGAAATCAAAATTAAACATTTATTTACAAAGAATGGCACGTTGATCTTTATAGGTTCGTCACCCTGCCATAGATCACAATTTAGGTATCTTAATTTTGACCCAATACGATGCATCCGCAGGTGGTATTTTTGCATTATTTCATTCGGACATAATGAAATGCAACAGTAGACAAAATCGTATTTTATGAATGGTATCTGAAATGGGTACTAATCATTAAAAAAAAAACATCAAAAATAAAATATCAATGAACATGGCAGACGTACTGAGAAAGCTGCCGGGTCTAACTATTAGGTACTAAGAACCACCCAGGTGATCCCATACGAAGAAAAAAATCATCATAATTGGTATAGCCGTTTAGGATAACAAGAATTACGAACACGCACACCTGAACTTTTTATATAAAGACTAGGCGTGCAACTTATTATTATTCTTAATAAACAAACTATCCAAAAAAAAAAAAAATATTTACCCTGATCAAATTTTGGTGTTCGGCGTACAATTTCTGGAAATGTATACGTAAAACACGGGAGCGCCTGCGATGCAAAGTGATACGTCCTCGCTCTGGGAAGGCTCGGTCGTCACTGATCGGATCGATTTTGTGCGGTCGATAATATAGTTCACTTTGTCATTTAGTAATAAACGAAATTATTATTTATTTACGAATTAAAAATTAGATTACAATAAAGGGTTATCTTAAGATTAATGTGTAATTTTTTAAAATAATTAAAAGTGTTTCTATGTAATAGAAAAAAAAATACTTATTTCGAACGAAGTTTTCTGGAAATTACGTTATTTCAACAATTTTTTTCTGCTATATTTGGATAGAAATTAAAAAACTGATCTGGCTACAAACAAGTAGACCGTATACTTATGTTATTTATATTTTTTAATGTTTGAAATATTTTGTAGTTTCGTTGTAAAACGAAGACAAAAATCACTTGATCGTTACTTTCCGGAAAAATGGTTGTGAATATTGGTGATTTGCCATTAATATATAGATAATATGATACATCCCTTCAAGCCAGATATTAGATTAAGAACTAGACTATTATAATAAAAATAAAAAAAGTTAAAATTCGTTTTCCTGTTCATACAAATAGTGATCAGATTTGTCCGCAATGAGTGATTTCGCGCACGGGGCCTTAATAAAAAATAAAATAATAACTAAGTTAAATACAAACACAACTCGTATAAGGATTTTTAAATTATTTTAAAAGAAAGAAAATAAAAAAAACGAAACAAATAGGCTGCCCACATTATATGCTGTTCATTGTTGCTATATTTACATTTTTTAAATACAGGATTTAGTATAATTTAAAGTGCCAAACCGGTCGGTGTCTATGAAATACAGTTACATTACAGGTAAATCTATTTATCGTTAATTTAATAAAAAAATACAACATTAAAGAAATATCATAAGTTATTATACCTAGATTCTACGTCTTAATCAACATCTTTTTGTTCATTATTGTGATCTTTGGCCCATTCAAGCTTATTGTACAGATATAATGGTTCTTTGTTTTTTACAATATCGAACAAAAGAGTGGCAAAGTGTAGTCGTCTCCGGAGTTCCATTTTTAATATATTGGCTTCGTTATAAAACGGTGTTACATGTGTACGTGGTGGCATGTTAAAGCAAAAATGCGCGCAGGCGTTTTGCACCCGTTGTATAATTTGTTTGGTACGAGCTAGAAGTCGCGGTCCTATGAGAGAATCAGCATTGTTGAATTTTGATACAACAAGGGACTTGCATAAATTAACACGCAGTCAGGTTTAGGTTATTGCGAATTCGATAAAGTACTTTTAACTAAAAAAGCAATTACGTACAATGTCAAAAATGTGCTTCTCGAATCGCAGCTGCTCGTTCATCACTACACCAAGATTTCTCGCTTCAGGGACTCTCTCTATTGTATCCTTATTTATGACAACAGCGGGACATTTCGATATAATCTTCCGTACCTTTGTTGGCGTTCCCAGTATCATGTATTTTTTTTTTGGATTCAGAACTAGTGTGTTACGCTCAGACCACAGAGATATGCGATTCAGGTCGGCGTTAAGCTTCGCCAAAGCGATATCTGTATCGCAGGGCTTAAAAGAAATATATACCTGTAAGTCGTCTGCATACATGTGGAACTTACAATGCTCTATATTATTTACAATATCCGCGCTGTAAAGTATGAAAAGCAGTGGTCCTAAGATAGAACCCTGCGGAACTCCCCGTTCAACCCGCCGATTATCCGAAGTGATTCTGGTGTTATCGTTTCTTGGTAATACGACTTGCTGGGATCGGTTCTTAAAATAGTTGCATCCCTTTGCATTTTCTATCGCATCTACTACGGAGAGTGCTCTGAGGAATTGTTCGGATTGTGGCGGCGCTGTCGTCGCGCCACAAGCTAAACACACTGAAGCCTAAATCGCGCTATCGAAGTTCCGAACAGTATATATAAGAAGAGCTCCGAACTATCAAATATTATATATAATTCACACATCGTGTCAAAATTCACAATACCATCCTCACAATCTGGATGCTTGGCGGTCTACAACTGTTCGTTTAACTAGAAGTTTTCTTTCTCTTACACCTTCTCTGTGGAATAATTTACCACCGGCGATTTTTCCAGGCCGATACGATTTAGGGACCTTCGAGAAAAGAGCTTACTCCTTTTTAAAAGGCCGGCAACGTATCTGCAATTCCCCTGGTGTTACGGTTGTTCATGGGCGGCGGCGGTAGTCACTTACCATCAGGTGAGCCGCATGCTCGTTTCTCGTTTGCCCTCTCTTCTATAAAAAAAAAACCCTACTTTTTGGGAGAGAGGTCAGCTGGTCAGCTGAAGCTGATTTTGACATAAGATTTGACAGCGTTAGATAGGTAAATACCCGCCTAAGGGTATTATTAAATATTATTATATTACCCTTATTTAAATAGTCATAAGGACTAAGAAAAGATTCTTAGTCCTTCTCTCTTCATATTATATAAATTCGCTTTGTGGATCTTATAAAATAATTATATTAAACTATTTTAAGCATGTAACAACAATTTATCGTGATTCATCGTGTTTTGAAAAATATGTGAAAAAATATTTATCGATATCGATTGTAATTTATTTTCTAATTTAAAAAAATCCAAAAAAGAAAGGAGTAGAAGATAAATATAAAACTCTTGTGAGGGTTACCGGGAGACATTACTGTCATTTAACTAATCATTCTATAGCGAACAATATATTATACTACCATGACATTAACAAATAAAGGTAAGTTTTTAATACTACTTGTAAATTGTCTAAGATCTTATTATTTCAATAAAAGTCTATCGTTTGACCAAGATAACACCTGTTGTATTTAGCCTACAATTAGAAAATTTGTCATTACTCACCATGCTAGTCATGTAAGTTAGGGTGCAAAGAACAGATATCACAGTGCCATCACACTGGCTTTCGTCATCTCTATCACCAGTGTTTTAATACCCCTATTACGCTACCCTGAATCAGGGTGCCTACTGATTCAGGGTGGTGTAGTAAAAGAAAGGTAGTAAGGGTCCCTAATTAGGGTGTCAAAGTGGATCCGATTTGCAGTGCCCTTCATCCGTGCAGTGTAATAACACTTAGGGAGTTAGGGCACTTATTCAATGTGTAACTAGAGTTACAAATGATACATCAATTCTTTCAAACATCATCATCATCATCATATCATTCATAAACATGGTGCTTCATGAGCTATGTTTTATGAACAATGTTTTGCAGTCAAAGGTTATGAAATAACCCAACTATTCGAAGATATAAAATTCTGTATGTTAAAAGTTGTGAACAATGATTATCACTAATTTTTTGTTGCCAAAAAATAAATATTCGAAACAAAATATGTCAAAGTTAGATAATGTCTAAATTTTGAAAGTTAGAAGGTTTATGAGTATTTAGCAGAAATAATGCAATCCCGAAAATTTTAACTATGAATAATGAAACAGACAAATGATCTTTCAGCCGAAAATAAATATGTTTGAACTTCAGAAGTACAATTGTCTTCTATTGGTAATTCCATTTTCGATGTAAAATTGTAGTTATTTTCATTGTCATAATTAAGATAAGTTCACAAATAATGAAAATGGATTGAAATTGTTTCATTCATTTTCTTATTAATAATTATATTGTTTGAGCTTTAACTTAATGAATAGCTTAAGTACAGTCTTATATGTAAGTTAATAGTTATTTTGTAATGGAAATTATTTTATCAGCTTATGGTACTTTGTATTTAGTTAGAATCATTTTCTGAAATATTAATTTTTTATGAATGAATGGTTATTCAGCTGTTTGTATTTCAGTATAGTTTTGTGTAGGTATTCAGAAAATGCGATAATACTGAAGGTAACATACGGAACTACCATAAAAATTAACACACCACATAAGAAATATGACTAAAGCAAAAGATGAGTTTCATATATTACATGTCATGAAAGGGTTATTTACCGGCTTCATAGCCTCGATAAGATCTATTTGCCTATCGTGGTAACTTCGGTATCCTATGAGCGGTTATTTTCAGAGGCTGGATCTACAATCACCCAGGAGAGAAACCACTTACTAGGCACCAGGTTGTCAAAATTGTTATTTTAAAATTCAATGCAAAAGAAAGAAATGTAAAAGTAAAAAATATATAATTAATTCTTGTTTTCTGATAATTATTCGATAAAATTAAATGTGTAAAAATAAATAGTGTAAAACTTCCTAAAATAACATAAATATAATGTTTGATACTTCTTTCTTTCATTTCTGTTCCAAATGATTATTTATTCCATATGTATGTTTTATAAAAAACATTGAAAAAATCGATATATCGTACATAAGCTTCGATGTTTTTAATGAGCGATGTTACATCCTATAGATGTGTTTACTTGGAAAAACTAAGACTCGAGTTAACTCAAGTTCAAATTCACACAACTCGAACTAAACTCGAGTTACGCAACTAGAGTTAGCAAGACGAAACACAGTATACTTTTTTCACTTGTCCATTCCTATGACTGAGTAAGGGCGTAAAATCAGGGTAGTGTAATAACTGACGTCCCTAACTAGGGGCCACGCCCACCCTTCATTCAGAGCCCTGATTAAGGGTGGTGTAATAGGGGCATAAATTAGGGTTCAGCATTTTAGGAATGAACATTGTTCTAATAGCCTAGATTCAGATCACCAGAGCTTCATATTTTAATTGGTCAGATCTACAGCAAGAGACAAAATTGTCCAGCAGCTGGCTCATAAAGGTTGTATATTATTCTGCTTAAAAATGTGTGAGGTAGTGAAGTAGTATTATTTGTATTATAGAGAATATACCCATTTGCATAAACAACATCAGGAATAATTTCAGTGGGCTTACCACACCAAATATTGGCTACCCTATGAGCCAGGTCCAGATACTTTGCTTTCTTGTCTGTTTCGGCTCTCACAAGTTTCTCGTCATATGGAATGGTAAGACCGACCTAAAATATCTATAACTGTGCTTGGTGCAGTAATACAAGATCAGGTTTATTCATAATTCATAAGAATAGTCCTGTACATGATGATGGCAAGGTCGCAATAGATCCTGGTATGCTAATGATGTAGCCTGTCGAGTCCCAGATTTTTTTTAGTTTGAGGCCCTATGAACTGCACTTTTCAAGCCCAAATGACATCTTAAAGTCATTAGAAAACTACTCAGTGCCAAGAGCAGTGTCCAGAACTCTCATTCATTTCATCTCCATAGATTTTAATATCATCATCATTCAATATCATTAGATGAGTCTTTTATTAAATTTTAAAAATAGTGACATTTTAATTAATTTATTAGTTAGTACCTGACCTTGTAATGTTACAATAATAAATCATCTTACAATAATAGTGGGTAAAAAGTATTTAAAGAAAAGGGCTACATATAATGATTTCTTATATTTATTTACCCGAACACTACACATTGAAATAATACTAGATTTTACGGAATTTATCGCATATATTTAACTTTTTAAATACCCGATGTTTCGAGAGATTTACAGCACCCATGGTCACGGGAAGGACTAAGATGTTCAACATCCAGATGTCATAGTTAACCGCGGTTACCATAGATTAAAATTTAACTTTTGTTCCGTTCTACACAGTATGAACTTATGGTATCATGAAGTCTTGCAGTCGTATGCTTGGGTTGGGATTTAATTTTATTTATTATAGGATCCCAAGCAGATGGTAGCACCCAGCCATCTTCTATTGAAATTAGGATGTTTTTTGATTTCAATAGCCTCGCGAATCATCCTTGGAAGGAATCGGTGTTCTTTAGCGAGGATTTGTGGTCTATCAAATCTGATGTAGTGACGGAGGCGATCCTGTACGTGTTCACAGACTGCAGACTTCCCGGTGCATCGATTCTTCACATCAGCTATATGTTCTTTAACACGGGTTTTAATTGATCTTTTAGTTTGTCCTATGTAGGAGAGGCCACATTCACAATCAAGCTTGTACACTCCTGCATCTTGCAGAGGGACGTTACACTTGACTGATGGTAAAAACTGACCAAGCGCGCTTCAAGATGAAGCCAATCTTGTCAGTGACTCCTCTAACATATGGCAGTACAGCAGGTACACGCTCGACTGTGGCTGGCTTCACTCGTTCTCTGTGATGTAGGCGTGGGACCCAAAGCTTGTTGTCATGCAAAACTTGCTTGACGTGTTGGAGCTCGGCAGCCAGGTGTTTACTGTCACAGATCCCTCGTGCTCTCTGAAACAAAGATTTACCCACGGTAGCTAACTGTGAAGGATGGTGGTGAGAATCACCGTTTAAATATCTATCTGTATGGGTCTTTTTTTCTATACACAGTATGGCTCAAGGTGTTATCAGGATTCCGAATTACTAACACATCTAGAAAAGCTAAGGAATTGTTTGCCTCTAACTCCATTGTGAACTGAATTTTAGAATTTATAGAGTTAAGATGGTCTAAAAATGCAGTTACTTTATCTAAAGGATTTAAAGTGTCATCTACGTACCGCTTGTGGAATCTTGGATTTATGGGAGAAGTAAGCAGGGCTTTCTCCTCAAAGTCTTCCATGAATATGTCGGCGACAATGGGAGATACAGGTGAGCCCATCGCCACACCAGCTACTTGCTTGTAGAACTCCTCCTTCCACAATAGGTAGCCAGATGTAAGGCAGTGTCTTCAATAGAGAAGATGGCTGGGTGCTACCATCTGCTTGGGATCCTATAATAAATAAAATTAAATCCCAACCCAAGCATACAACTGCAAGACTTCATGATACCATAAGTTGATACTGTGTAGATCGGAACAAAAGTTAAATTTTAATCTATGGTAACCGCGGTTAACTATGACATCTGGACGTTGAACATCTCAGTCCTTCCCGTGACCATGGGTGCTGTAAAGCTCTCGAAACGTCGGGTATTTAAAAAGTTAAATATGTGCGATAAATTCCGTAAAATATAGTATTATTTCAAGGGCTACATATGTTCTATTGCTGGGCTAATTCATTTGGCGTTTCAGAGAGGAATTTATTTCCCCAATAGATATTAGCAGATTTTAGATGTCCTTGAAATAATTTTAATTTCGATGTTCAGGTTTCCTTACAATATTTTCCTTCACAACTGAGCATGTGATGAAAATGCCATAAAGCAACCCAGGAAAATATGTATATCCTATATATTAGCCAGTAAATTATTATTATGAAGAGAATGTAAGGATATTGTGAGCTTTACCATTGAGTGAATTATAGAAATGGCATGTGGTTGCAAACAATGAAATGCTGGACACCTTTGTTTAAATTTTTTTAATTTTGCTATTATTGATATTATCAGTTCATTTTTAGGTGATGAAACAACTCACATAAATATGGAAACAGTCTGTGATTTATTGGACAAAACATTGATTAATCAGTTACATCTGATGGAAGAGAAGATGCGGTGTGAACTCAATATAGAATCGAGCATCAACAGTGGAAGTATTCATCTTGCTAAATCTAGATATATAATGGGTCAGAATGCAGTCAGTATAGCAAGGTTGCCGATGGAGAGCAGTCCAGAATTTTCTGCATCAACTGTGTGTGAAATCACAGAGGTTGATAATATGAAAGAGTTCAGAGTAGTTGAGAATGATGCTGAAAACACAGTGAATCCATTACATTGGTTTGGTGTACTAGTGCCTCAAAACTTGCATAAAGCAAAGAGTATCTTCCAGAATACAATTAATTTTGTTGTTGAATGTGCAAATATTCAAATGCGATTACTTGAAAATATGGGGAACATGGATATGCTGAATAAATACAAAGAAACATTAAAATCTTAATTATTGTACCAAATGACTTCTTCGTTTATTGTAATGTTGTTGCAAAACACATCAAATAAAATTACGCTCTTAATAATTTATTGGTATTTCAGTTATATTTTTTTTATAATTTACATCTTTGTTTACCTCAATATGTCAGTGTAGCAGATGTTGAATTGGTTGTTCAAACAATACCAGAACTATTTTTAATGCTTATATTTGCATCGTAGGTGCTATTATTTGAACTTGGCATAATGATCATCTAGGTTCACGACTAAGGTTTTTTTACTTTATACTTACCTAAAAAAATGTAAACAAATTGCATTTTGCATATATACGTATTATTTACATCATATAGGACATATTTCCTCCATATTTGTTTTGTATTAAGGTAACAATATCTTAAGATACTTATGTAAAACCTAAATTCTACATCATATGTATATTACAACCTATTTATTGTTCATACAAGTGTTCCTTCATATAATATTCCTTCATATTATATTATTTTCTTTTAAAATTGTTTCCCACCACTGTGGGAATTTCTCCTGTATTGGGTACTACTCATGGGTCGATTTACATACATAAATTCTACTAAGGCAAATCTCCAGACCAGAAACAATCGATTATTGTTATGCCATATAAATCCTTGTCTCATGTGGTATTCAAACCCGAGGCGCATATTGTTGTCATCAAACGTTTATCGCTACGGAGCTGTCAAAACGTGTTTATGGTATTAATATAGATTCTATTTGGTACCTAATTAGCAAGTGGTTATTAGTAAATTAAACCAAGTTTTTTTGTTATATAAAGCCAACAAGAGCCGTGGTAGCTCAGATGGTTAGCGCTCACTGTACTGGGTTCGATCCTCGCCGGCACCAATGAAATTGTTAATTGCAATTTTAAGTGCTGATTTACCACGTGCTCGGCGGTGAAGGAAAACATCGTGAGGAAACCTGCATGAAGGTCGCCAACACGCATTGGGGCAGCGCGGCGGACAATTCCTTGTCCTAAAACCCTCTCAGAAATGAGCGGAGGCCTGTGCCCAGCAGTGGGACGTATATAGGCTGTAAAAAAGCCAGCAATGTCTTGCAAGAATTTTATGAAACAAATGCCATGACAGGTAAAGGCGATTGATGCTCGTTGTAAATTTCATAGTAGGCCCAGGTTCGATCCATGCTGGCACCAATAAAATTTAATGGTAATTTTAAGGACTGATTTACAAGTGAATTTTAAATCCGAGACTAAAAAATATTTTGAAGATATGTAAGTCTATTCTATTTTATTCCTGGTTTAAGTATAAAGTAATAGACTGATTCCATTACATAAAAATGCGATGGTGTGTCCATGTGTTGTTTTCTGCATCTCATTGTACTATGTGGTAGGATTCCTTTACGTCTAGTTGTGGGTCTGGGTATGTACGACACTTACCTATTTCTGTCGTCAAACAGCAGCGCTTGCTCTGCGGTGTTCCGGCCTGAAAGCTAAAGAGAGCTAATGTAATCGCAGGCTGTAAGGTAGCGCAGTCAGTCAGCAACCTGCCAAGAGATGTTAGTGCCGTGCCTCGGTAAAAATTGAAGGTGCAAAGACCCACTTGTGCACATGACCCCACCATGAAACGGCGCCAGGTCTGGGCATCTCCCGTTAAATGACGCCCATTAAAATGGAATATCGAATTTTATAGAACGCGCACGTGGTGGGTCAACCCGTTAAAATTAGTTAGTAATCTATGGTTAAAATAGTTCAAAGGTTACCTCTGTCACATAGTGACAGCGGACAGAAAATATGATTGCGATATAGAACGACAGAGAAGAACTTTGTCTGTCTGTGGCAATATGTTTGCCATTAGATTTTTTAAAGCTTCCAATGAGGTTAAGACTATGCTCTTCCAAATGTACTGTCAGTCTTTCTACACCTGCCAGCTCTGGACTGAATGTGCAGGGCGATCTTTGAATTGTATTCGTGTGCAATGCAATGCTTATGGGTCTCAAACGCTATTGTAGTGCTTCAGGCGTGTTTGCCGAAGCATGAATTAATACGTTTAATGCCATTCAAAGATTCAGAATCGCATCATTCATGTCCAGGGTGGTGGGTGTAGAAACAAGATAATTAGTGAGTTCGCGGTAAGACTGCCGGCCACAGCCTTTTATTAAAAATGGCTTAAGATAGCTGCCTGACGTGATGATTCCCTCCATTTAGACTTAGATATTGTTATAATATAATTATTTTTAATTTATTGTAATTCTGTACTGTATTATTGTACTTAAACCCTTGTATAACCCACTGCGCCCCTCGTTCTTTCATCCACAAGTATGAAATCTATCATGTTTATATTATCACCTTTTTCCCACGTGATACATGTGAGTCTTCTTACGACGAAAGAAAGTGTTCGTCACCAAAAGATTCTTTTGCATACATACAGTGAGGAGGCCTTCACCATTCTCATTTATACTGTTGCGCGGCTAAGTTGACATCTGGCACTAGCGCCATCTAGTGTCGGGTAACAGAGCGAGGAGAGAGCGTTCCAGAAAATGACATCACTAATCTTTCAACCGACAGCGCCATCTGTTGTCGAAACGAAGAACCAAGCTTCTAGAAGCCTGACGCTCGAACTTTCGATGCTTAGTCGATTGGTGCGCGTATTTACTTGAATGTTCTGGATTTTTCGGTGCTAAGGTGTATTTATAGGCGCTGCAAGGTGCGATCGGGGAAGTATTGAATTTGGCGAGACAAGCGAAGCTTCGGAGCGGAATAAAGTGAATCAGTGTGATTAATTATTGGTATTTTAAGTATTAATTTGTGTAAAGAAAATTAAAGTGTTAATTTAGGTAATTCTATCGGCAATTTTTATTGTCACGAACCTCAAGCTCGTAACAATACTTTCATCACCAAACGTTCCCAATATCCTTTCATAGCCAGACCTTCACCACAACTCTTTCATTAAAATCTCACATAATAATATTTTTATTTCCTTTACATTTCAATAAAACCATCCTTACTATGTCCCAAAACCGCTCTCAGATATAAGTGTGCTCAGACATGTCTGGGGCGTATACCCCTACCGCAAACAGCTTCTTTAAGCCACTGTCATTCGTATGCATAGCAGTCCTAGGCTTACATATTCTTACCCTTTCATACATTGGCTGCTGCCTGGAGGTCACCAGGCCGCGTCTGGAGCGGGCGCTGGACGTGACAGCATGCAAACCACCAGCCGAGCACGAGGTGCTGCACAACCACCCAATAGCCCCTCGCTCCATCATCCCCACCAGCTGGCTTGGTGTCGGCAGGGTACTTCGCGGGCCCAGCAATCGGCATCCACCACCGGTGAAGTACGCCGCATGCGATGAACAATCAAAAGGAATACCAACGCATTACGGGCGTATTTTAGGGCGAAAGAGGGAGAAGTTAGAGGATTTGTGCATCGGGCTAGGATGCATCGTCTTTTGCTGAGCTGGAGCCATCTATAACCGTCACAGAGACCTGGGAGACCGAGTTCGATATATCTTGCGCTCAAATATCTACATATATTTGATGTCGCCGAACTCGAACGGCTATGACGTGAGGCTGTTCGCTCATCGGGTGAAAATGCTACGACTGCGGATGCGGCGCAATAACTTGCAAAGCAACCCGCAAACGTGGATGCCGCCGTGAATGCACCAGTTGTGGTTGATTCAAGCGATGATGGGACAGTCGCCCAGGAACTGGAATTAGAGCATATGGAGCGACTAATGATAAGTGAAATGGGCCCAGCACCGAATCAAGCCGACACTGTTGCATTCTGGCGCGGTCTGTGTTCAGAGCCCGTAAACCTCAGCGAGGGCCCTTGGACGGAAGTTGTGGCGAGTCAGTGTGCGAGTATTACGACCATGGACCCCGTCATCATAACGCCGGATGACGTAGCTGAGGCGGTCCGTAGGGCCCCGAACTGGAAAATTCCGGGACTCGACGGGCTGCATCACTACTGGCTGAAGGGGTTCGTGGTGTGTCACGCTGTGCTCGCCCGACAGTTTCAAGAGGCTATCAATCAGAAGTCAATCCCTAGCCTCTTCACTACTGGAATCACTCATTTGGTTCCTAAAGACCAGGTTACCACAGACCCGAGCAAATATCGCTCCATCACGTGTATCGACCATATACAAGACACTAACATCCATAATGATTTCTTATATTTACGCGAACACTACACATTGAAATAATACTAATTTTTACGGAATTTATCGCGTATATTTAACTTTTTTACCCGACGTTTCGAGAGCTTTACAGCACCCATGGTCACGGGAAGGACTGAGATGTTCAACGTCCAGCTGTCATAGTTAACCGCGGTTACCATAGATTAAAATTTAACTTTTGTTCCGATCTACACAGTATGAACTTATGGTATCATGGAGTCTTGCAGTTGTATGCTTGGGTTGGGATTTAATTTTATTTATTATAGGATCCCAAGCAGATGGTAGCACCCAGCCATCTTCTCTATTGAAATTAGGATGTTTTTTGATTTCAATAGCCTCGCGAATCATCCTTGGAAGGAATCGGTGTTCTTTAGCGAGGATTTGTGGTCTATCAAATCTGATGTAGTGACGGGGGGCGGGGACGATGTATTTTTTATACAATATAATTTAAAACTATTTTATGTTGATAAATAAATATTTATTCAAAATTCATCTTCACTATGAATAATTGGTACAATATCATGGTCTAAACTGTTTTCTTCTTCACTTTTGATCTCGCTGTCGGATGACTCCTCTCCTCCAAGATCGATTACAAGTTGCTGCATTACGTCGTCAACCAGGCCATCTTTTTCCCAGTATTCCTGAAAATAAATAAAATAGTGTTATAAATTTACCACAAAATAATCGTATCAATTTAGTGAATTACTAATATGTCCTCCAAAAAAGTACTTTGTTTTTTATTTAACATCACAATACAAACATAAATACATACACACATACATACTTTAGATTTATAATTTATTTACGAACTGACCTGTTGTAGTCTCTCGACATGGTTAACTTCTTTTTTCC